TTGACACAGATTTGCCCCATCCCTTTCACAGAAAATAAGAACAGAGTAGAGCAGCCATTCATATGTGTGCTCAACTACAAAAGAAAGTAAAGTGATCCCTACTCCAGAATGTATTTATGTGATGTACTCGGAGAATCTGTGTGGAATGAAAGATACTGCAGAAGAGGCTATGGAAAATATTAGATAAAGTGAACCAGAAAACCTTGCCAACATTAGATGTTATTCACTAAGACTTAAAGGAACTCAAAAATGCAACAGATTATATCAACTTTCTCATGCAGTCTCCTGCTTAAAACTAGATTGACAGTTCAGGCATGGAGGTTGCCTGACATTTATACGTTGCAAATCAATACAAAAAAAATAGGAAGAACAGAACTAGTGGACACCGAAATAAACATGACATCCTGGCAAAGACTCCTTGTTAAAGGAATTCCTGCCTCACAAAACAACCAGATTTCTCTGTCGAGATGACCGATTACATGGATAAGGAGGCACCCTGCTGAAAGAAAACTAGGAAACAAAGTCCATACGAAACATTTCAAAGGACACCAAGCAAGGCTCTGAAAAAAATTATAGAAGGCCCTTTGTATGAATAATTAACTAATTAAGAGACAGAATGATGCGAAGGAAAATGAAGGAAGGCAGGAAGTAAATGATTACTTACTTTAATAGAGGGAGATGACAAATGGAGTTTCACAGAAACCTGTGGTGGGACATGGATTATTCTACATTATCATAAAGAGAGAGGAGATAAGCAGGTAATAAAATGATGCAAATTTGCTGGTGATCTTAAGTTATTCACGACAGTAAAGATAAGATCTGACTACAGAACTGCTGAAACATCTTGCAACACTGACCAGGCAACAAAACGTCAGACAAAAAAAATGACTGCAGATTAAAGTGATACAGATTGGCAAGTATCATTCTAGCTTCCTACATGAAATCTTGGTCCTAGACGACCATTACTCCTCAGCAGCAATATCCTTTCATTACAATACGTACCACCGTGAAGAAAACCAGACTTCTTTATGATGAAAGGGACTTCCAGGGTTATCTGGTCCAGCTCCCTGCTCAAACCAGGTCCAGTTAGAGCATGTTGCTCAGGGCCTTGTCCAATTATTTCTAAACATCTCCAAAACCGCAGACTCTGTAGGTGCTCTGCATACCTCATCCAGTGTTTGACCACCCTTACATTGGAAAAGGCCTTTTCTTATGTATCATCAGACTTTCCCATGTTCCAACTTCTGTCCATTGCTTCTTGTCCTATCACCATATACATCCAGGATCAGTCTATCTCTGTCTTCTCCATACCTGCCCATTAGGTGGGTAGTTGCAGACCGCAGTAAACTCTGCCGTTGGCCAGATGAAAAATCACTGCGGATTAAAGTGATGCAGATGGGAAAGTATCATCTTAGCTTCCTAGATGACAGCTAGGTCCTAGTTGACCATTACGTCTCCCTTCTTGAGGTGGAACAAACCTGCTTCCTTCAGCCTCTTCCCTGATGTCACATGGTCCACTACATCAGTGTTTCTCTCATACTGAGGAGCCCAAACTGGACATGGTACTCCAGATACTGTCTCACAAGTGCAAACCGAAGGGAAGAATAATTTCTGCAGCCTGGTGGTTAATGCTTCTGCTGACAACCCAGCGTGCAGCTGGCCAGCATTGCTGACTCCTGTTCAACACTCTGTCCACCAGGACCATCGTGTCTTTCCCCACAAAGGTTCTCTGTGGACAGTTGATCCCAGCCTGTACTGTTGCCTGGTGTTATCCTGGCCTAGATTCAGGACTTGGTATTCCTGCCTTTGCTGGACTTCACAAACTTCCTGTCAGATCATGTTTCTGGTCTGTCCCTCCGTCTAGCAGCTCTGTCCTCCAGTGTATCAGAACTCCCCAACTTGCTCTAGGGGAGTTCACATGTCTGTTGAACATGCTGGCCCATCATCCCAATGTTCAGATCATTAATAAAGATGTTAATATTGGCCCCTGTATCAGTCCCTGAGGGATGTCATTGGTAATTGACCCAAGAAAAAAAAAAAAGCAGAGGAAAGGTCACTGATTATATACAGATCTCTAGCTTGATGCAGTATGGCTATTCTAAAGTCATACCTTCAGTCTGAAAACTACATCAGTGAGTTTTTCTCATAAATGGGAAAACATCAGCTGTTGGTTCCTCTTTGGGCTCTAATTCGTAACTCCAGAAACTTCCAGAAAAAGAGAATACTGGCAGAACATTATGTAATGTTATACAATTATGTAACATTTAGTGAAGTGGGAATTATTTTAGCTACCTTCAGAGAATGTAAAGAAACACCACCATAGTAAAGAACAGGTTTGTTTTATCCACCTCAAGGTATGTACCACTGTTAACTTATTCAGAATCTAAGACTAACAACAACAAAATTCAGAAACATTGGCATCATGGTTTTTTTGTAGTTATTTAAGCTTTTATTTTGACTATATAAGTCAAGTCAATTCCAAAACGTCTGACAGGATCTCCTGTAACAAGAAAGTTGAAAAAAACATGTTCAGTAACGTGGGCACACATCATTCTCCAAGGAGAGGGAGAGGGGCTTTCAACAAGGGCAGGTAGCAATAGGACGAGGGGTAATGGCTTCAAACTGGAAGAGGGTAGATTTAGATTAGATATCAGGAAGGAATTTTTCACTATGAGGGTGGTGAGGCACTGAAACAGTTTGCCCGGGGAAATTGTGGATGTCCCATCCCCGGAAGCATTCAAGACCAGGCTGGATGGGGCTTTGAGCAGCCTGGTCTAGCAGAAGGTGTCCCTGCCCATGGCAGGGGCGTTGGAACTAGACGATCTTTAAGGTCTCTTCCAACCAAACTGTTCTATGATTCTATGAAAGTGCTTATGAAAAAATGGGCTTTCTGAAGGTTGAGCAGTGAGCTGTAATCCCACAGGTCTACACTCGGGATGTTGGAGGATACGTCACCTTCAGCTATGAAAACTAACTTTGTTCTTTTGGGAACGTATGCAGACAGAGCTCAAAGTTTCCCCTCAGTGAACTTTTCCCAAGTACCTGACTGTGAAGGTTGACAAAAAACTATTCTGCAGTTTCTCACAGTGATTCCTTAGAACAGATCCAGGCAGGCAGACAGACTCCTACAGTTGTGAAGATACCCAACTGCTGCTAGTCTAGCAAACGGGTACATAATGGCAGCTGAGGAAGTCGCTGGTGGAGCCACATCCTGGAAAGTGCTTTTTTTCCCCTGTCTTTGCCTTTCCTCAACTGTTTAAATGACTTGTTATTAAATGAGTCAGCACTGGCCACTTTAAACACCCTTCCTGACTTATGTTGCCAAAAACTTTCCATAAAAAAATAAAACCCAACATAATTAGACTGGAAATGGGTAGCAGCAGGGAAGGAGATGTCTAGATTTTAAAGAATGCTGTACTATTTACGTGTGGGACACTGAACTAAAGACACCTATCCAGGGAAAAAAGAGTTCTACTTATTCTAAAGAAAATTGTATGGTTTGACCCCAAAAGCCGTATTTTCTGAACTGCATGCCACATGCTTTGCACAATTCTGTAGAATGACTACCTTCACAGTACAGGTAAGTAGATAGTGAAAAAGAAATGTTAGCAAATATGCTTAATATTGCGGCTTAAATCTGCCATCCTTTTGTCGTTTGTGGCACTATTAGAAAAGGGCCACGTCAAGGTCTGAATAGATCTAGGGAAAACAAAGACCTAGTTCAACTGTGTAAACTGTAAGTTTAAAAAACAAATTTATTAATAAACATATGCAGTAATGACTGTAAGGGTAATTTTTCCTGCCAGGAAAATGGGAATTATACCACTGCTGGCAGCAAATATACTCTGATACTATATAGTCTATAAGATAGAGTCTTACAGTCTGATACTATAAGAAAAATCAAGCTGCAAAGTGCAATTAAGTAAACCAAACAAAAACATCCCTCATGTTTGCTGAGTAAGAGCAAGTGGTCAAACACACATTCACAGTATTACACATCAATTAGGATAATGTACTATACAGTATATTAATTTAAATAAGAACCAATGCAGCTTTTTTTTTTTTCCCCTCAAAGAAAATAGATTTGGCTCCACAAGAGAGACTGAAAGTGAGTTTGCCAGACAGGGCACCTTTTGTTTCCTCTTTGCTTAAAATAAGTAGTGAAAAGCAGTAGCAACATTCTGACTATTTTTTTCAGTAGTATGCAAGTATCACATAGCGCTTCTCAGCTTTGAACAAAAGGGTAAACTGTGAAGTTAACTTCACAGCAAGAACAAATCCTTTTGCAAGTGTACTTCATACAAGAAGAAAAACGAAGTCCTGAGCGTTACTGCTGATACATAGCTTATGCAGAATATAAAAACCTAATTCTGATTAAGTACTCTATAAACACCCTTTCTGCATAAATACCCAAACAAAGCAAGCCAGTGAGACCTCTACTGAACAATCTAGATGAAACAGTACAGACAGAACCGATAAGCCAGTACAGTAAGCTAAGCCAGTACAGTAAGCGCGGCATTTTATCAGGCAAGTGCTGATACCATCAGCAACTTCAGCCTGAATTTGAACGAAGCTCAGCACTCACACTTCAAGGGAACAAGCTCGTCTTAAGTCAAGAGCACTTCACCAGGAAAACAGTAACCTCTGAGCATTTGGAAATGCTCAGACACCTTACATGGTATACAGGGGAAGTGAAAGATGCTTAGCGCTTCTGGAAGACGCAGTCACAGGTCTTGTGGTCAGTGAAAAATCATACACGACATATTACATATGCAACAAATCCACAGCAAAATAAGACCACTGTTTTTAAAGTGTATTCCAGAGGAATAACAATATGCACATCTTCCCAGAAATCTCTTAAGAACTTAACATATGCAAATAAATTCAGCCTTCGCAATTGGAGGGGACTCTGTTTGTTCTTAAGCTTCCTAAAAGTGGTCTCCATATTTATCTCTCTCAATTGTTTCAGGAGTAGAAAATTCATTGAACTTTAATTCTACTTTGCCCTGGAACAAGTAATCCCTTTGACAGGCTTCTTCGAACTGACTCCGATTTCTTCAGAGAAAGACAAATTACCATGATAAGTACAGAACCACAATTACCCATCACAAACCTATCCGGCAGCCCAGCTGTACAAATGCAAACCAAGGCTTACAACAGTTTGTTTCCAGATGGGCTACGATGATACAAACATAACTTGCTTGACCTCACCAGGACTAGTTATTTTTGTATAGTTGTGAAACATTGTTTAAAGATTTTGTACAGATAGGTTTCGACTTGCTAACTTTAATAAGCAGCGTTCAAAGTACAAAAATGCTATAAAGCAAACACTGTGCTGTTTTCATACGTTGTTTTGCAAAAAACAAAAGTTTTTTATTGTGTATATCAAACGCCAATTTCGTAACTAAAGAGCTGAAAGAAAAAAAAAGACAAGACAAAAACATCCACACCGAAGTGGCTGGCATGTAATTACTTAGAAGACCACTTGAAAGCCTCATTTTTATTTTTTAAGCTCATTTAACATTGTGTGGGACACGTTAAGAGGTCACCGAGACACAGTTTGCGTATTATTTAACTTCTTAAAATTCGGATACCTCTCCCCGGGTGCCATAAGGGCTCCAATCAATGCAACGCTCAGGCCGGACCGCGAAAACACAAAAGCTTCGCCAAAACCCCTGAAAGCCGTCAAGGAGAACGCTCCCAGGCGGAAAACCATCCGGCGAGAGGGGCAGGGGAGGCCGGGGGGAACTCGGGCGGAGGGGCGGCTTAACGCTTCCCGCCGCCCAGCGCCCACCGGCCCCTCACCACCCCCCCAACCCCCCCCGCCATCCCGGGGCTCAAACCGCCGCCGGCACCGCAGCGCGGCCGCGGGCCTTACGCAACGGCACCGCGACCTTGCGGGGAACTTCGGAGCCTTTCCCGGGAAGGTGGGGGGACAGATGCAGCATCCCCCCCCCACACACACACAAACA